TTTTTCTGTTGGTTTTTTATTTGTTGGTTTTTTCGGTTTTGTTTTGGGTTTTTCTTTTGCATCTCTTTTAACTTACAAATCGATCAGTCCATTGTTTGTGTATGTTTTGCTTTAGTAAGAGTTTCACGGTATTTGCAACCCAAATAGGTCATATAAGTCTGTCCATCATAGTCTCAGTTCCGTCCATGACACATTATTATAAGACTACAGTTGCATGAGAAGACAAGATAATAGTCATGGCCTTGGTAGACATCAAAAAAGAAAGAGAAAGAAGAAAAGCCGTGAATAGAATGCCCGCTACCAATGCAAAACAACCCATAAATTATGTCGTAACCAGCTGCATAATAAATCATGCCTGTAACAGATCTGCCCTTAGATTTGAAATCTATATTGTCATCTGCTCTGTACAAACAGACAGAAAAAAAGAAAAAGAATGGAAAGAAAAGATGCTGCATTAACAACCCCATACAGTTCAAGTTTGGAAATCCAGCATTACCCACAACGCTACGATTACACACATAGACAGAAAATAATAAATACCCCACGCCCCCCCCCCCTCCCCCCATCACCTTCCCAAAACTCCTTTATATTTTCATTCCACGAAGAAAAAAATAGACGAAAATACAGTACATCTTGTTTTCCTGTTTTTACGTTTGCACTCAGCCGTGGTTATAAATTAATCAGCTCTTAAGCCCAATGCTCTCAAGAGCTATTATGAATCATATAAAGCCTTTGTGCTCCGGAGTGCTAGGGGCTAGGGGCTGTGTATCAAGTTATGTAGGCCTATAAGGTGTCGTCAAAGAGGTTTTTTTCACGAATTAATCCTCCCACGTCAAATGCCGCTGGGTCAGGGGTCGACGTATCAAGCTACATGTAAGAGCCAAAAGGTTGTGGCTCCAAAAAGCCTAAATAATCCGCCTGTGGCAACAAATCATCCCTCGCCAGGGCTCGCTGGCTGCCTAACGTGTTATTAGCCGGGCCCGTGTACGCCACCGCGGCTCCGGCCTCTAAGCTAGGTCTGTCTGAGGGACACGACGATTCCCAAACCGAAGATTCGAGGTCAGGTCGGGCGAAAATGGGACATTGGCTGAAGGACAGACATCATGCGTCTCTGATTTATGACAGGCTGCGGAACAGATCGCAAAGGAAATCTGAATTCTGTTTATTCTATGCATGCTGTCATAGTGGAAGGGAGATAACTCAGACACAACCATTTACCTGAATCTGTCTATAAACAACTTGTAAAAAGTTTGAATAACTGGGTTTTTGCTCTCTATTTTTGACATTTAATAGTTAGTGCAGGTGCAAGATTTCATGTGTATCTTAAATTCCAAAT